ACGGCGGCACCTGTAGTCCTTGCAACTCTGGCAAAGGAAGCAAGACAACGGTGAGCTAGAAGCTAGGGTGGGCGAGGAGGAGAAGTGGGGGTCAGCCTCAGAAAACAATAACATTCAACAAAAATAAATAAAATAAGCAGCAGCATATGAAGGGAAAGCTATGGTGACATCATTTGAATAAGAAAAGTATGATAGGCTAGTGTTTGCTGTGTAAAACTGCTACTTCTTTCATACTTGGCTTTAAGGGTGGGCGAGACAGCTTAGAGGATGAAGCGCTGACTTAGGCAAGTGCAGGGACTAGGATTTGATTCTGGTACCACATGCTACACCAGCTCCACCCCCAGGTATGCTGAGCCAGCCACCAAGTCTGGGAGTGGTGGTGCACGCCTGTAATCCCAGAGCTCGGGAGGCTGAGACAGGAGGATCACTACAACTCCAAGCTGCGTAATAACACCCTGTGCCAAATACATAAAAAAGCTTTACTCTCATTAATAGTGTTTACTCTTTTATTATCATATTTGTCATATATTACAAAAATCTAAAAATAATTCCTAAAGACAATGTCATGTATTTCCAATTACCCTTTTTCTAATCTACTAATTATCAGTATTTTAGGGGTTGGAGAGATAGCTCAGCATCGTAAGTGCCTGCCTAGCAAGCACAAGGTCCTGAGTTCTATCCTGGGTACAAAAAAGAAAATCCAATAATTACCAGTATTTTCAGGCTTTATTTGAGCTTCTGGGACCCTGTACTACCTAGTCATTCCTTGTCATTAACATACACATTCTTTACCCTCCAGTATGTTCTAATTTTTGTTTAGCTCAATTGGTTTTGTATCCTTAATTACTAATTAAGGAGTGGTAGGAAATTTGTGATACATTTTACTCTTTCACTAGTATTAATAATATGCAAAACAATTGCAGCAACTGAGGAGAAAGATAGTAAGATTCAGATGTCACTGATTGATCTCTGTACTGTGAATGAAGTACTGAAGAAAACTGAAAACAAAAGAACAAGTATAGTATGATGGATTCACATAGGTAAAAATAGCAGATGGTCTACGGCATGCTCCGCTGGGCACCGACAGTGTACCACCAACACTGGCGAAGGCACTCACCAGGGCAAGACCGCCGTTACCACAGGCGCTCCCTTAGTCATTATTTTTCTATCTGTCAAAAGCCTGTCTGCACTGCCAATTTTCAAGATTTTTACAAAAGATTGTTTGGACTATTATTTAAATTAAAATATCATATTTATAAATCTCTGCAGTACACCATTTTTTAAGTAATTTTCTTTTATTTTGAAGAATAAAAGCAAGAAAAATAAAAGTAAAGACAGAAACACGGGAGCAATAAGAACAAATACATTGCAGATTTTCAGAACTAGAATAGATGATTAAGAGTGATTGATATATTATCTATTTTTAGAGGCCAGTCAAATAGCTCAGCAGATTAAAGTGTGTGCAAGCAGGCACAGGGGCTGGGGATTCCATCCCCAGGCCTGCTGTGCCTGCCCCACCCCTGGGGCATGCTGAAATGGCAATGAGCCTGGGCGTGGTGGCGCGCACTTGTAATCCCAGCTCTTGGGAGCTGTAAACAGGTGGATCACTATGAGTCTGATCTAGTAGTGAGACCCTGAACACTCTGTAGACCCTTCCCTAATAATACCCAAAAACCCCAAAAATAAACAAACAAAAAATCCCCACAAAGTATAAGATACATTAACTATTTTTGTCATCAAATCTTTTGTTCAGATTAACAGATATAGTTATGCAAGATGGGAGATATGATTGAATATTACCGCATGCTTTCAAGAAATCTTAAATTTTTGTTCTCTCATTTTCTTTTATTACCTTTTAAAAATTTACCTTAAAAAGAGTATATTGCTAATTGATATGACCTCAGAAATGGTATACATTTATAAGACCAAAATGATAGATATTTCAATCATGATTTTAGAAGAACTCAAAAGAAGAAATAAAAACTTAAAGGTATAACAAATACAGTTAAATGGAAAAGAACAATAGTTAGAGATTAAACAATGAAGAGAGAGAAAGGAAAAAAATATAGGTAATAATGTAGTGACAAAAGCGTACATGTATATATATAAGATGGTTACGGCAATTGTCCTAAGAATTTCCATCAGGTTTTTGAAAGTAGCAGTCAATGTGTATGTGTCTCACCTTGGCTAACTCTCTATGCTAATATATGTGCAGCAAACTAGCTTTAAAGGCCACATCACTTATTAGTTGAATGTAATAATCATAACAATCTATAAGGACTAGTAATAAATATAGTTCGCAATTAATATAAGTTTGATTGATTTATTGATGAAGTTAGGAACCAGCTCCTAATGTCTCCACTTCCACACTATCTTTGCATTTAGTTAGGTTACTAGGAGTTTTAGAGATCTTTAGCAGATTATTACCAGAGGTAAAAATAATTAGATGACTAACAGTGTGAGAAATATAAAGTTTCTGTACAGGTAAATTTTCTTTTATTTTTAATTAGATCACAAATATCTTGCAAGTCAGCTTGTAATTATAGATGAGTCATTTGATTATTTTCCAAATATCCATGAGGTTGTCTATTATTTCACAGTTAAAAGGAAGAAAATAGAGAACTAGAAGAAAATAAGAGAAATAAATTCACAAAATAATGTATTAGTGAAAGTATTCTGCATTTGGTCTGTTGTTTTACCATGTTGAATTTGTATTATTTTTCCCTATAAACTAATGGAAAATAATAATGGGCTTTAATTACAAAATCGTGAACAAAGACATTTTTCTTGCAATTTCATTTATCAAAATATGATATTTTCATTTTCTTTTAAACTTTGTAAAATGCCAGTCATTAAGTTGCTGTAAGTAACTATTACACTGTTTGTGATTCTAACTGAAATTGTTTCAAAATAGATACTTTATCTCTTAGTGTTTGACTATTCCACTTCCTATGTTCTCTTGAACTGTGAAACTAATTGTGTGTCATATTATTTCAAATTTGAAAACCAAAATTACAGAAAATTACTCTGTACATTCTTGATCACAATTTTGCATTGTAAGTAAACAAAGGCTTATTTCTCACAAATAAAAAATGTTACAAAGAAATTATTTTGAAAACGTTTACATATGATATTTAGGGTAATTATAAGAGTCAATTAAGTAGTTAGTGTTAGATATACCAATTTCAGAATGTCAACAGTGTGCTATTATATAGGAGCTCACTGAGAGGAAAACTTTATGAAAAATATAGCTGGGTAGGGTGGCACATGCCTGCAATCCCCAGAACTCATGAGGCTGAGTCAGGTAGGATTACTACTATGAGGCCAGCCTCAGATACATAGAAAGACCCTAATAGATAGATAGATAGATAGATAGATAGATAGATAGATAGATAGACAGACAGATAGATGGTTCTCGTATTTTGTGATTCATGTTATTCTCACTTATTCATTTGCTTATCATTTCAGATTAAAAAAATCAACAGAAACTTTCCTGTAAACCAGCAGGTAAGATCAAGTACTGCTTGGAAGACCCAATATTATATTCCTTGAATTGCATCTTTTATGAAGCATAATCTTGATGTCATTTGAATTTTGTCCAGAAAGAATCAGTAATGTCAATTGCCATCTTCAGAGAAAGATCTATATTTAAGAAATTTGTCGATGCTTTATCTGCCTCCCTTATCATGTTAAAGAATGGGCTTCCCATATTTTTTCAAAGTCAACTAAGATGAAACATTTTTTGCGAGATAATTATATTTGTATGTGTACAACATTGATGAACTCAGACTACAGTCTTCATATGACAGCTTTAATATACCTTGACTTTTCAAACATATATTTTAGATCAAATTCAAAGTTCAAAGGCAATTTATAATGTACAAATACTACTTCAATTCAAATCTAATTTAACTAAGAGTGAAAATAGCATTTGATTATTCAGATTAATAACCTTATTTCTCTTGACATCAATGTTAATTTGCAGTTTTGTGTAACATCTGTATTTGTAAGATAGCTTTCATAAATGGTACATAAATTAAAATATATTTCAAACTTTAACATTTTTAAATCCTCTTCAATTTTTAAAAAGTCAGATACTTTTTTATCTAAGCTTCGGTTTCCTTATCTGTAGCACTGGCATAAGGGAAACTATCTTTTAAGTTTAATTTTCAGAAATAAATAAAAAACATATGCATGTCTTCACCATCAGTGAGGCTGAATGTTTTTAACTTGTTCTTTGGAATGCAGAATTTGTGTTTTTTAGAATTGATGTTATTAATGATATTGCTAAACAATGCTAGAATGAAGGCCATGTGTGGCTGAAAGACTCAAAAGAAAGCTCAGCGTTGGCGAGTTGGGTGCGTCTCTAATGTTCCGGTCTCCCTCCTCTCACCTCTGAGAATCTCACCTTTTCTGTTTGCGACCTGCAGCTCTAAGCCTCGTTGGTATTTTGTGTCGAGGCAGCAGTTGGAGAGGTGTGCGTCTTGACACAGGACAACCGGGTGTGGTTGTGTTTTAGGTCCTCATTTACAGCCCTAAATTTATCCAGAGGCGTAGCCCAGAGTCCCGGATTGAGTAGTTCCCTGAGAATAACTTGGACGCTTACTGTGTGGCTGTAATCTTGTCTGGGGTGACGGTAATTTGGGGGGTACATAGGTGACATTGTGAGATGATTTTAGAGGGCTCCTGCGGAGTGGCAGTGCCATTTGTGAAAAAATTATTCAAAAAGAAAAAAGCATCTACCATGGTAACATTTGAAATACTCACAGGAAGGCATGGCTGTTTTATTGTCAGATATATAAAAGTAGAAATCATGACTTCTGTGAATTGTTGCCAAAAATAAAAGTGATCAATGGTTTTTGATTTAACAGTGACTCTAAGATCTATGTCATCCTTTTCCGTGCTCTTTCTGGCAACAGCATGAAAAGTATTAATAATTGGCATAATGTACTTCACTGTGAGAGTTCCGTAATTCCACAGCTGTTCTTTCCTCCCACTACAATCGTGCTTTAACCATTCTTCATGTTAGAGATAACCTGAAATACAGTGCAGCATTTGAGTTGGAGTAAGAGGCAATCTACGAGCTAGGAAATACTAAGCTGAACAGAGTTTAAGCATCCCAAGAACAAAGTGTCAAGGCAGATATTTGTGGAAAAGAGTGTAGAAGGATAGTGAAGAAATTATTTGATCACTTCCAGTGTTGCAGTTAACCTTAAGGGTTGGCCCCACTGGAAAGTCCCTAGGTTATATAAACAAAGATTTATTCAGTGGTTCAAACCCTGAAAAGCCCTTGGTAACATGACGCTGAGTTCAAGATGGAGCGCTTGCATGACAAGGCTGAGAGCCCAGAGAGAAAAGCACTCTCACAAGAAGTGGAGAACAGCCTCAGTTCCTGTCCCAGCTGTCCCTTCCCAGGGCCCAGCCTCTGAACCGCTCTCCGTCACCTCTAGCACCATCTTACTGAGCATTCACTGTCAATACACGAACCCTTGGGAGCATGCTAAGAGCAAGAGTGGACAAAGTCTCCCCTTACTGTTTTTGTTATACAAATGAAGAATTTCAGAGATACAGTCCAATTTATAGTTAACATTCATATTTAAGCATAAGGAGACAAACTCACTTATAAAGTATGATGGTGTATTAAGAGACTAGGGTATATTCCCTGCTTAATAAGATGTGAGCCACTGTGAGGGACTGAAAGAAAAACACACATAATCCTGCTTCTGATCCAGATTTAACATTCAGGCAGTGTGCTTGCCTTGAAATTAGTCACATTGAGTTGCTTTCATCTCAGATTTTTTCTAACTTGATTTTCCTGTGGATTTAAAATTTAAATTAGATATAAATACATATTTGTATGCTTATGCCCAATACATATGCATATGATTAAAATGCAGATGTTAAAGTACCTAAGTATTGTATTAAAGTTCCTAAGTGCAGTGTTGATTTTCCTATTTCAAATGTTCTTTGTATTATAAAGGGGAAAATAAAAGGTCCAAACAGAAAAGATTTAACCCAAGATACATTGAGTCACAAGACCTCTGATTCCTTTGAGACTTACTACTGAATTCATGTTACAAGGTGATACCTTTGCCCCACCTGAGAAGTGAAGACCAAAAGCAAACATAAAGGGATCCGGAGAACGCTGCTGCGGGGCAGCAGAGGCCAGCACTGAGGACTGGCCACACAGGGACTGTCCCTCAGTCCAGAAAGCAGGGGACTCCCGGTGAGAACACAGTCACAGCAGAGATTTGGACCCAAAGCTGAAAACCATGTGAGAAAATAAGCCACTATAAGGGGATGTTTCATCTAAAGATGAAACTAATTTTAAAAGTATTTTAGGTTTTTTTTTCTACTAAAGGTGCACAATTGTAAGACAAAAAATAAGACACGCTCTCTGAAGGTGGGTATGCAACAAAATTAAATAGAAGTTCGAGCATGAAAAAGAAATTAGGGAAATTGAAATGTTTTAACCGATTAATCAGACCTCTCACCTATTTCCTGTTTTGTGGTAGGGGCAAAATTTCCATTTTCTCTATGGACTTGGAACGGATTCGTGGGTTTCCTGTCTTGATATTTTGATAGGCTGCATTCATGCAGTGAACATAATGAACTTCATATGCTACTAATGGCTTGTTGGAAAGTACTGAAGGTGGGCTGCCGGCTTGCTGTTAATGAAAGCAGTTGTATCCTGTGAGCACAAATCTTGGCCTGATGATTCCGTCATGATTCAGACCGCCAAGCTGTGTCATGTTGCTGCAAGTCCCCAGCTCACTTTATTTATTACACTTGTCATTGCACTCATTTTAGCTAGAACACCTCCATACTGAGCGATGTCTCCCAAAATAGCATTCAGTAATGAACTATTTCCGAAGAAGAAGATCATAATATTAAGTAAAGTGAATCAGACACATGAGCTTTAATAGCATATGGTTTCTTTCATATGAGAAACCGACATTATAAAGATCAAAATAAAATATAAATACTAGGAAGTAGAGGAATAGACTTTTTTGTCTTGGTACCAGAAATTGAACTAAGGACCTTGCTTGTGTTTGCTCGGCAGGCACTTCAGGTGCTGAGCTACACTCCAGTTTTTGTTCGTTTGTTTGTTTTGTTGCTTTTTTGTTTTTGTTTTTGTTTTAGATAGATCTCTCTTAAATGGGAAGGAGTTTGGGATGGGTTGTATAAATGCACCAACTCCACACAAAAGGCATAAACATTATATACTGTAAACGTATACTAACAAGAATAAAATACTAATATAAACTGTCCTTTCTACTGAGAATTTTGTTATATGATTAAGTCAATTTTATTTTTTTGAATAAAAGTGATATTCTTTTAAAATAAAAAAATTATCTCAGATAACTAATCCCATAGAAGTATTAATCTTTGACTGTATGTCATAATTTGGACACCATATCTATTTTTTTCTTTCTGTATTGTAGGAAAGGGTCTACAGGGTGTTCAGGCTCTCACTACTAGATCGGACTCATAGTGATCTACCTGTTTACAGCCTCCCAAGAGCTGGGATTGCAGGCCTGCGCCACCACGCCCAGTCTCAACTGCCTTCTCAGCCCATCCCAAGGGCAGGGCCGACACAGAAGACCTGGGGATTGAATCCCTGGCCTCTGTGCCTGCTTGCAGGTGCTTTAGTCCACTGAGCTATTTGGCTTTGCCTTGGACACAATATTAATGATATGGAGATATACACAAGCAGCTCTGAGAGACAGCAGGGGAAAAGGTGACGTGTTGTCTTTAAACTTGTTGAGGAGAGCTTAGCAAAGAAAGCAGAGCCTAGATGCCCATTTCTGGTGGGCATCAAAGGGGAGAGGATAAGAGATCTTCACAGTCAAGCTTTTGCATTAAAGCAAGGACAGCAGTAACAACAACCACCACCAAATAAGACAGGGAAAGCTATTAGTCTCAACTAATATGGAGAAGGAAATGTGCCAAAGGCCTGTCTAAGTCAGGGAGCAATTATTTAAGAAAACCAGCGGCGTCTGAGCATAGCAGGCTTTCTAACCCTCATGCCAGCCCTAGTTGCTGCTGTCCAGCACACGGTGGGCTTGAAACACAGTGGCTCTGCATATCTTCTGAGATTGGTGGATTTTCTTCTCTTGGTCCAAGTGCCAGTTAAAATCTACCAACCTATGATTTTTAATTTAATAATATGCATATTTGCTTCATTGAAGTCGAGCTTCATTGAAGATATGTGCGTGTATGTATGTGCACTTTGGAAACAATATGTTCTATTTATGAGACTGGCAGTTGGTTTTTATTTTGATCTGGGGAAATATAAATATCTTTTTTATTTTCAACTCGAGGCAAACTTTTTTAGCTTTTCATATATTCAGCATACAAAATGTTGACAACAAATCATAGAGTTACATAATCTATGGATAAAGCACTTGTTGGCATTCAGGTCTGTTTTATAATACTTGGTGATAAAATATCCTGACATTTCGTGTGATTTAAAGGAGGATTCTCCTCAGCGTAGTAATGTTACC